CAAAGTTTGTTAAGTAATAGAAAGAGAACTAATGAGTTTGTAATGTTTTTCTACAGCCTGTCCTAATATTTTCCCATTTTCTTTGTGTCTGTGTGATTTCAGTTGCAGCTAATTTGCAGAAAATTGTGGAAGAGCCCCAGGCAAACAGATCCATCACTTTCAGACTGGTATTTATTGCTGTTCCCTAATTGATCAAGTTGTCCCTTGAAAGGAGAAGGAATTGCATGTAGATGTTTACTGCAGGCACCTGATGTATGCACTCTAAATCCTCCCTTCTTTCCCAAAGCTTCTTACTGGTTGTATAACTGTAGGCACTGCAGGCTCCCTGCTTGTATCCTCTGAGCAGCACCTGGGATAAATAAGCATGAGATGATGTGCTAATTAATGTATATAAATGCTGCAAAGGGGTATTTTTGGGGCTTGGGATTTGCACTTGCAGAAATATTTCAAGGCATGTGGATGGGCTAAGAATTGTCACAGATTCCTTTCCTGGAGGAAGAGAATGAGGGAGAGTCCAGATACATTGTCCCTGAGGAGGAAATGGGGAAATGAAGAAGAAAAAAGGAAAATAAAAGAGTAGTGGGCCAAAGGAGAGAGCCAAAACTGAGAGTAGAGCAGGTGAATCTTTCAGAGGTGGTGAAATTTAGGGGGGTTACAGTGGCAAAGTGAGGGCATAACCAGTTATTGGGAGTGAAGCAGTAAGTGCTCTTATTTCTTATTCTTCCTGTAAAGAGTTTTCACTTCTTTTGCCCCAGTTATTTCAAATATAATCATACAATGTCCAGTTGGAGCAGACACTGGCAGAACTTCAGTCCCAGCCCTACAGAGTTTCAAAAATAAAAAAAAAGGGCAAAAATCCAAAAGCACTCAGTTTTAACTTTGGGTAGTGCGAGCTGCTGAATACAGTGCAAAGCTGTCCTGTGTCTGTTTCCTTCCCCCACCCTGTCTGATACACCTGCCTGTGGCTTCTGCTGGAAGGTAGAACATGTGTGTTGCTATTTAGATTTCTGTTCCTTGTTTCAGGCATCTGGTGTTGACGGCTCAGAAATTCCGGATGATGGCAAACTTATAGGATTTGCACAGCTCAGCATCAGCTAAACATTGGTCCCAGGAGATGCTTCCCAACAGAGAACCCACATGTGCATATTCGTAATGCTTCTGTTAGCCTAAAAAAAAAAACCACTACTGCCAAAGAATTGAACTACAGCCCCCTTCCTAGAAGCTTTAACATTTTCCTTAATAGGATCACAAACCTTCCTGAAATTACCGATGACGTTTACACCTTTTGTAAACAACTCTCATGTTTTTGTATCTGTCATCTCAAACATGCAGACCCAACACGTCATTGCCTGCATGTTCGTTTTATTATTGCCTTACTTTAAAGAAAAATACTACTGAGTACGAAGCAGGGGGTTCCACTGCTCTGATGATCTTGCCTAAGTGTTTGCTTACATGTGGTTTCATTTTTTTTTCACTTGCTATTTTTGCACAAGTTTTAATACTGAACGGATTTTTTTTTGTTGTTTTTTTTTGTTCTTTACCTGCTTCTCCTTCTGTCTGAAACACCAATGTACATGTTGTTTGGGTCACCTGGAGTGCTGAGAAATCTGCTTCTCTTTGGCTGTGTGTTTTAAAACTGCTGGTTTGAATGCTTGCAACTGAGAATGCAAGCGGAGTCTTAACTCGCAGGAGGGAGAACTGCCTTCCCTTGTGTTTCTGTTTTTGAGAAGTTCTTTGAGGTGTTAGAAGTCAGCTTCCCTTTGTAAACTGCCTTAATTTTTTTTTTTTTCTTTATCATTTTGGTTCTCTCCACATGAGTGCCAGGCATGGCATGAGGGCTGAACCTTTTAATTTACACTCAGCAGTCCTTCCTGCTGCTTTCATTCTGCATCTTAGACGTAGTCTGTTCTTGAAGCAGACCAGGGAGGCATTGCTGCCTGGAAACTGGTCTTTCAGACGATGAACACAGTATCCACGCTCACAGGGAGAGGTGATCTATGTCACTCTGCCTTTGGAACAGATGCACTTCCAAGTGTCCCTGAAACCCAGTTTGGTCATGCCTGGCTGGCCTCCCAACGTGTTCCCCAGTCCTTTGCAAGCTGGTACCCATGGAACCATCCCTGTCGTGTTTTACAGCAATAAAGAATCACCAGTAGAGTGGCTGTACTGGGCAAAAGCGGGCGCTGGGTTTGTCCCTCCTGCACTAAATCCCTTGGGTCGTCGGGCTGCGCGCCAGCCCAAGCCTCGACGTTTGATCAGGATGTCACTGCACCCCTGTCACACACCTATTTAGCTTTTCTTTCCATGTGGTGTTGAAGTTGAGTTTCTACATGAATAATATAAATTATGCTCTGAGTTTGATAAGAGACACTTGTAATGCAATATGTGAATAATAAATGGTGTTGACTCTTTTTTTTTCCTACTGTTTCACAGTTGGCCTTTGTAACTGCTCTTGGCTCTGGAGTGTTTTCTACACAGAAATTGTAAGTCTGTAATTTAACACGCAGATGGAAACGTGCTTTGTTTCCATCAGACACAAACAATGCAGAAACAGAGCGGAATGACTAGGTTCAATTAGGACTTTTGTTCTGTTGGTCTTTTTTTTTTTTTTTGTAATTTCCATGTCTTCAGATGAACAATCTGTATTTATATCTTGTTCTCTATGAGCAGCTGTGGAAGCTTCCTGAATTGTGCATGTTCTTTTTTTACCGCCCCTGTTGCTTGTAGCCTCTGGGTGGATATTGGGTGTGTCCCCATGGGCTGTTTGCAGCCCCATGGCTGGATGAGTGTGAAGGGGAGGGAGAGTAAGATGAGGATTTGGGAGTGAAATCATCCCAGGGTGCTGAGCTGATGCTCTCCAGAGCCCAGGAAGCGAGTGCCCGATAGCAGGGAGTTGGTGGTGGCCAGATTGGCCAAGTGTGTGTTGGCACCATTCCCTGTTGCCTGACACAAAGCACTCCCTACGGTGTCCCCTATTGAGCTTGTTGGCTTGGGAAGAGCAGGCTGGCACCTTGATTTCCCCGTCACCCTGTGCTCAGTGTGGATGTGTTGGGAGCCTTTAGGATACAGAGACAAGGTAGTTGTGGTACAGTATTATTTTTCCTCTGCCTGCATGCCCTGGGGACCTCCTCGTTCATTTGTGTACTGGTGCTGAGGAAGGTTAGGACTCAAACTGCTCAAATGGAACAATGCAGCATCTATTTATTGTTATTCCCCATTTTCCCAAAGCCAAGACTAAGAGAGCTTGAGCTCATGCTAACCCAAGGTTCCGTAGTTCTTTAATGGAGAAAATAAGCGGGTTTTGCTCTATAGATCTCCAGATCTTTTGGGTAGGGATCCAAAATATTTACTTGGGCTATTACAGTGCTAGACAACTGTCTTTTCTGATGTTGTTCCAGTAAGTGCCAATGCTGTTCATAATTGTTTTCCAGTGTCATTAAGAATTTGGTTTTTGTGCAAATTTCTGATCAGAACCTGGAAGCAGGTGGTAATTTTCAGTTAGTTCCTACTTTTAAGGACAATGCTCTGTTAATGAAAACGGATCCTCTTCACAACTTTGGTGTATTGTAGATTATAATGAAAGATGTAAAATAGTCAGGCTTTTTTTCCTTTTTTGGACTTTGTATTTTACTGCATGTGTCTAATTTTTAATCAATAAAGAACAAATTGTCCATTGCCAGCTGTTTGATGTGTGGTTTGCTTTTCAATGGGTTGGATGGTGTGTCTTGAGGAAAGGGTTTGGCTGAGTGGTGTCTACAACCGCTGGGGCATTTCTGTTTGGGGTGGTAGGAGGTTTCACAGCCCCCAGGAAGACTCAGTGGGGAAAGGGAGATCAAGTCCAGTCTAGATGGGGCTCTGAGTAACGTGGTCTGGTGGGAGGTGTCCCTGCCCATGGCAGGGGGTTGGAACTGGATGAACTTTAAGGTGCCTTCCAACCCAAACCATTCCCATGAGTGCATCTCTGCAGGAGTTGTGTGCAGAAATGGTGCCAGGAGGGCACTCAGGATGGTGTCCTGAGAGTTTGTCTCCAGCTGAGGTTTGCTCCAAGCTCTACATGCCCTGTGCAGCAGGGAATGAGTTTCCCCTGTCCAGGAATGCCTCAGGATGACACAGGCTGGTGTGAAAGTGGGATTTATACCCTGACAAGCAGTGAGAGCATGAACTGTTCTATCTCCTCTCCACAATGATTGTTTTTTGTGGGTGCCCTGGTCAACCCCAGTGGGGCATCCATGGTCTGTTTTCCAGTGTGCTTTACAATGCCCTTATTATGGATCTGTGGGCAGAAGGAGTATCCAGGTGGCTCATGGACATCTCAAAGGGGCCCCAGGCAAATGCTTTTCCTACATGAGGGATGGGCTGAGCAGTGCTGGACTCAGTTCCCGATGATCATTTTAGGCATTTGGGTCTCAAGCACCATTGCCCTGTGTCAAATTTCTCCCATCTCTTTACCCCATCTCCAAGTCCTCCCTGCATTTACCCCCAGCAGCCTGCAGGGTGGCCCACAATTGGTGGGAATGGGGGACATCCTGTGCCTGGTTTGCTTGTGTTGCACAGGGAAGATGCAAAATGTAAAGGAAATGGCAGCTCCCGTCCCCTGGCATCACAATGAACTGGCTGCTTTTCCTCATCTCTGGTTCTGCCCACCATTTACATAATTCCCTTTATTCCTCTGGGCCATTCCCAGCTCTGTATCATGCTGGGCTTGTTTTGGCCCCTCTGAACCTTGCTTTCCTGAGTGGTTCAGCAAATGTAGCTGTTGCAGTCACTGTGGAGAAATCTGTTCCCTGTCCATTCACCTGGCCCTGGCAGAGGAGGTGGCTGAGATTCCCTGAAACAGGGGTCCTTCTGCTCCAGCCAGCCCTGGCTGTTTGTGGGTGGCACAGGGATGATTAATATATTACATGGTGTACTTCTAGTGACTGCCTATGAGTGCAGAGCTTATCTGAGGTTTAAACATTAATTCCAGCTCTCTGGGAAGTCTGTCCCGGCACTGTCCTGTCCCAAACACAGCCACCAATGTCAGGTGTCGGGGAAATTTTGAAAGCAATTGGTGATTTTGGGCGATTTCAGAAATGCTTGGTGTTGCTTTCTGTGATCCCCTGCCTCAGTGTGGCTTTCCACCAGTTTTGCCAGCTTTTCATGGTCCCGTTTGTGCCTCACCACTGTGACACCAGCTGGATCCGCGCCGTCGGCCCCAACCTGACGGAGGAAGAGCAGCTGAACCTCACCCTGCCCCGGGGCACGGACGGGGAGTTTGAGCAGTGCTCCATGTACTCCCCGGTGGACTGGGACCTCCATTCCATTGTGGCCTATGGGCTGAATGACACCGAGAAGTGCATCAATGGCTGGGTGTACCCCTCAGACCAGCCACCGTCCCTGCTCACCGAGGTCTGTATTTGCTGTTTGATGTGCTGGGATGTGGAAGGGATGGGACACCCAAATGGCCACAGTTCCCCCAGAGCTGGTGCCTGACCACGGTGCGGTTGGGATTTACAGCAGGTGTGGGTTGGCTCTGCCACACAGGCCCCAGGTGTAGTCCTGGACAGGTCTAGGCTCTGACAGATGTGCCAGTGGGGAGATGAATCACTCCTGGAGAGACCTCCTGCCCCTGGGTTTCCCCATCCCTCTCCATTTGGGGGTTAACCTTTCCAACTTAGTATCATGGAATGGTTTGGCTCAGAAGGCTCGTTTAAAAGTCATCTAATCCAAGACAACATCATAATTGTTAGCTGAGAAAGATGCTAAATTAAGATAAAGGAGAGTTGGTTTAGATTAAATACTAGGAAGAAATTCTTTGCTGTGAGGGTGGTGAAGCCCTAGCACAGGTTGCCCAGAGAAGCTGTGGCTGTTCCATCCCTACAAGTGTTCAAGGCCACGTTGGATGGGGCTCTAATCTGCCTGGGATAGTGTAAGGTGCCCTGCCCATGGCAAGAGAGTTCAAATTATATGATCTTTAATCCCCTTCCAACCCAAATCATTTTATGGTTCTATGATCCTTCCTATGTCTCTCTTTCCACTGATGTCCTCTGGATGCTGGCAATTGCAGGACATCTCTTTAACAGGAACTGTCCCGGGAATCAGCACTGCATCCATTCTTTCTCCTCTGGGAGGTCAGGTGGTCTGGCAGGAAGGAAGCTGCTGCTTCTATCCCCAGGCCCACCTAAAGCAAAATTTTCTGACCAGGAGGCTCCCATGGGTTGGTTGGGCTGGACGAGGGGGACTCCAGCAGGTCCCAGTGCACAGGAGAGGGACCCCACTGAGTGCCCCAAGGGTTTGTCCCACTTCTGACTTGTGTGCCCTGTGCATGCTATGGGGATTCACATCCTCAGAAGAGGGGATACCAAAGCATCTGTTTCTCCTTTCTCCAGTTTGACCTGGTGTGTGACAGGAAGGACCTGAATGACATTGCCCAGGCCATCTACATGGCAGGGCTGCTCCTGGGATCCATGATCTTTGGGCCTCTAAGTGACAGGTGAGGAGCCACAACCCCCCCTGCCCTGGATCTGTGCAAAGCCAGCACAGCACAGACCAGGTAGTGTGAGCCTGTCTGGACTGTGTACCCTGTGCATTTTGTCACCACTTCTCACTGACAGGGACCCTGACCAAAGTCCTCAGGTCCCATGAGGGCACAGCCACACAGGGAGGGGAAGGGAGAGAGACACAACATGTGTGTGCAGTGCTTCACTTGTCACCCCACAGTCTATTCTGAGCCTTATCAGGGTGATAAAAATCACTGCATAACCTGCTGGGTTCCTTGCCATCCCCATAGGGTGTCTCCATTGTGTCTTCCCTGTTTCTCTCCAGGATTGGCCGCCGCCTGGTCATTCTGATCTCTGTCTTCCTCCAGGGCCTGTTTGGCCTGGGAATTGCCTTTGTGCCCCATTTCTATGTGTACATGGCCTTCAGGTGTGTCGTGGGGGCCTCCGTGTCAGGGATCACCATGACAATACTGGCCTTAGGTGAGTAGGATGCCCTTGGCCTGGGGCATTCCAAGATGCAATAGAAAAATCTTCAAAGAAATAAAAACATTCATGTTTGACTAGAAAAACACACTGACGAGGACAGGTCTTGATCTTCACTGTCCTTTGGTACTTTGGCAACTTCTCAGGCCTCAGTAAGAGCTTTGGGGAGCATCTCTCCCCAGCCAGTGCTCAGAGGAGGGCAAGGGGACAGTGTCCCAGCACAGGAGGTCAGTTTAATCCTCACCTGCATAACAATTCTTCAGGGAAAGACCCTGTTTGCCTCAAGGGAAATCATTTGGATGACTCTGAGCCTTCTTTCTTCCTTTCAGCTACAGAATGGATCGGTGTCTCCTCCCGGCCAAAGGCAGTGCTCACTTCTCACTGCTGTTTCGCCATGGGGCAGATGATTTTGGCTGGTTTGAGTTATGGGATTCGCAACTGGAGGCTGCTGGAAATTGCAGGATCTGTTCCTATATTTGCCTTTTTCTTCTTCATTGGGTAAGTAGAATGTGGCCAGAGCTCATGCAGATATGACAGCAGTGTGAGGGGGGGGAATGAGGAGGTGGCAGCAGCTCAGAACCAAGCTGGGCCTTTCCCATTGGAGTGCAGGTGCTGGAGGAGCTGCTGCAGAGCTCAGCACATCTCCCTGGGCACTGCACTGCTGAGAGCAGCAGCTGCTTTGCTTCAGGTCTTCAAATGTAGAGCCTAAATTTAAATTTTACCCTAAATACATTTTGGGTATTTAGACCCATTGATCCTATGGGCCATCCACTTTAGAGTTGGGCTTGATGATCCTCGTGGGTCCCTTCCAACGCTGAAGATTCTGGGTCTGATTCTGTGGTGGCCAAGGCTTGCTGGACATGGTCCCAGAGAAAGGGGCTGTGGGGGGACTCAGCAGGACACAGCAGCATGTCCTGGCCTCCTCCTGGCAGGGTGCTCCCAGAGTCAGCTCGCTGGCTGGTGACCAAAGGCAGAATCGAGGAAGCCAAGAAGGTTCTGCAGAAGGCGGCAGCCATCAACAAGCGCAGCCTCCCACCAGAGCTCCTGGAGCAGGTACTGGGGGTTCCTGTGCTCAGACACTGCCCTGCGCCTTGCAGCAGCCCCTGGAGCTCAGCTCATCCCACAAACGTCTCTCTGTTCCCACTGGGGATGCTCTGGCCATGGGCTGCAAGGGACTCCAGCTCCTGCTGCATCACACGGGGACGAGGTCAGGGAAGAGGCCCAGCTTCTGCTGAGGCTCAGCCTGGAGCTTTCTGGGGTCGCCCTGGGCATGTGGGAAGGACTGAAATGCTTCCCTGGCTTCTCTCCTCTCAGGGTTCCAAGAGTGTGACTGATGAGCACAGAGTGTCTCTTTAGTCTCAGGGTTTCCATGCAGAAGTGCCTGAAGGGGAGGGAGTTCCCTCCTTGCCCACCCCAAGGGTCCTACACTGGGGAAATGTTCATCCTGAGGAACCTCTCAGTCACCACCCCTGTTCTGGGCACCCAGAGCACAGAGGCACGAGCCCAGCCCCACTGGGCTGCTCTCCCTCCTGGAGCTCTGGGGGTCACAGGCCTCTCCATGAGGCTTTCCATGGTCTGCAGGTGGCAAAGGAGCTGGACATGGCTTTCCTTTTCCTGCTCTGACTCTTTGACTTCCTGTGTTTTGAAGCTGAAGCCTGAGAAAGAGGTCAAGTCTGGAAGTTTCCTGGATCTCTTTCGGAAGAAGCACCTGCGGAAGGTGACTTTAATCATGTCATGTGTCTGGTAAGACATTCCCTGATGCATTCTTCCCAAACTTCTAGCTGAAAGAAAAGAAGGGATTCACCTTGTGGGTTTTTGAGTGTTATTTGATGGATGTTTCTGCTTCTGGCTGTTTAAGATGCTTTCTGGGAAACGTTATAGGATTTCCAGCTTTGGCAGGCCTGTGGCATTCATCTGGTTTTACATCTCCTTGGAAATGCTGTAGCTTAATCATTGGAGATCAGTGCTACATTCCCTCATGGCTGACACCTGCTCAGTGCCACCCTGCCTGCCTTTCAGGTTTGTGAACAGCTTTGTCTACTATGGTCTGAGTCTGAACGTGACAAATTTTGGCCTGGACATCTACCTGACTCAGCTGGCCTTTGGAGCAGTGGAAATCCCAGCCCGTGTTGGTTGTATCTTCATTCTGCAGAGGTTTGGGAGGAGGAAAACGCAGGCCGTTCTCCTGGTGCTGAGTGGCCTGGTGTGTCTGATCATCACCGGCATCCCTGAAGGTGAACAACCTTGTCCCATATGGAGAGGACATCCACTGGGACAGGGAGGCACAGAGCCCAACCCTTCCCTTGCTGGTCCTGTCCTCCCAGCCAGGGTGGCTCACACCCCTCTAGGCCTGAGCTGACCCTGGCCACAGGGGCCTGGCTGAACCCAAAGGGCCCATTCCAAAAAACAAAAACTTTTCTTGCTGATAGTGATAGTGGAGAGCAGAGCTGAGCCCCTGTCAAAAGAGCTGTGCTCTGGGAAAATCAATACCTGGGGAGGTGAGGTGGTGGATGCAGAGTGCAGTGAAAGTGGCCACCAGGCCAGAGCGGCCTGGTCCATGCTCAGACGCTGTCAGAGGAGGTGGCTCCCTGCAGGTGACACAGATGTCCCAGTCTCCATCTGTGAGCGGTTTTGAGCCCTCTCCCATCCCATAGCAGCCATCTCCTCCTCCCCTCAGACCAGCCCATGGCAACCACCGTCCTGGCCACCATTGGCAAGTTTGCTGCCTCAGCCTCCTTCTCCACCTCCTACGTCTATGCTGCCGAGCTCTTCCCCACGGTCGTCAGGTGAGCTCTCCCCACACATCGAGCTCCCCTCTGCCGTGGCTGGCAGCGGTGACGGGGCAGGAGCCCGGCTGTCCCCATGGCCACGCTCAGCCCCGTGGTGGCCTGGGGTGCTGAGCGCTGCCCACACCTCCTGTGGCCCCACAGGCAGACGGGCGTGGGGCTGTGCTCCATGGCTGCACGGGTGGCCGCGATCCTGGCCCCGCTGGTTCGTCTCCTGGGGCAGCACCACCGGGCCATCCCCATGGGCATCTTCGGGAGCGCCCCCGTGCTGGGGGGGCTGCTCTGTGTCCTGCTACCCGAGACCTGCGGCACCGACCTGGCAGATGGCACAGGGGACGGCCACCCCCCGGCTGAGGTGGGTCCTGGGGCTGCCTCTGGGATGGGGATGTGGGGATCCAGCACTGGGAGGACCCCTTGGCCTTGCATGTGCTGGGGTTTCTTTGGGGGTTAAAGAGGTGGGAGGGCATGGAGTGGAGCTGTCCCACTGTGGAGAGAGGGGAGGAGTCCCCATAATCCTTCCTGTGGAGGTCATCCCTTCATTCCTGCCCTGGAATAGAACAGCCAGTGCTCCGCTCTCCTTCCTCTGCCCTCCCCAGGGAAGCACTGGGGCTTTCTAGCAACATTCTCTGGCTTTTACCCTCTCATAGCTCCCAGCCCCCATTCCCCATGGAACCAGGTGGAATTGCATCTTAATACTTTTGTTGTCTTGCTGGGAGAAGGTGCCCACAGGAACAGCAGGGAATGGGATCCAGGCTGCTGAAGGCTGCCTGTCGCAGGGACAGCTGCTGTCAGCTCATTGCACACCTTTCCCTGCTTTTACACCCTTTTCCTTTCATCAGGTCTGCGAAAATGCCACCAGCAGTTCTCAGAATGGGGAGGTGAAAGGAAAAGGTGGTGGCCAAGACAATGAGAGCACGAAGACCACGTACCTCTAGATGGGTCTGCAGGTGGTTGTGGATAAAGGCAGCCCAGTGCTGTGGGCACTGAGGACAGGCAGGGTCTCTTCACCACAGGATACCACCATTGCTTAGGCTATCACTGCCAATTCTTGGGTTTCCTTGTCTCTTTTGCCTTCCTGTATCTCCCTCTGTAGCCTGTCTTCAGGCACTGCAGGCTGTCACTGGTGTTCAATAGGGCTCTCACCAGAGCAAACTGGGTGCTTTTTCCTTGAGGGAAAAAAGAAAGAAATCAAGAATTAGAATGAGGCACTTCCTCTTCATTTTTCCTGTTACGTCTCCAGGACGATGAGACTGTAAACTTTGTCCAGTGAGGCACCCACCTCTTGCAAGAATGAACTTGCAAGAAAGAACTGGGCTGACTAACAGGAGAGCTGGAGCAGATGCAGCACTGAAAACAATCTCACACCTGCAAGGAGTGATTTATCATGACTGTCTAGCAAGATCATCCCATTCTCTCATTAAAAACACTCCTTTTTCCTTTTCCTTTTCCTTTTCCTTTTCCTTTTCCTTTTCCTTTTCCTTTTCCTTTTCCTTTTCCTTTTCTCTTTTCCTTTTCTCTTTTCCTTTTCTTTTTTTTCTTTTTTTTATTTGCGATACTCCGCTGAGAAAAAAAAAAGATGTGATCATCTAACAAGCAGCAGAATTTTCTCTTTAGTGCTGGTGGCTTGGAATTGACGCCTGTCATGATACTTTGGGCATGGAAAATGGTGCTGTTAGGCTGCAGTGTGGGACCAAATGGATTTGTCCATTCCAGGAAACTGAGGGATGCTGTGACGGTTTGTTAGAAAAAAGTACAAATCTTTCCAGGAAATGTCAATTCTTTTCTACTCTCTCCTAATCTATTCATTTTTTGCTGGATCCATTTTTCTTTAAAAGATTTAGGACCACTTTTGTCTTATACTGTGAAGAAAAAATATGTTTTTCTTGTGCTTCCCTTCATATTATCTCATGTCCCTCAGTCCAACTTATGTTTCCCACTGGATGGGTATAGACGAAGCCTGGTTCATCATGGTGGTTCTTTATCTTTGACTGTAAAGCTCAAAGGTTTTTTTATTTCTAGTAGTGTCAAGAAATGTTAAACCAGAGTATTTCTTCTCTCTGTTGTCATGCCTACATGTTTTCCATGGACCAAAGTACCTCATGGACATTCAGTTTGATCAGAGTTTTGGATAAAACCAGTGCCATGTGACAATGTCCTGCCAGGAGGGGCTGGCTGTGGTGCCATTTTCTCTCTGAAACTGCTTTCCAGAGGATTTTCTGTAGTGCTCCTCTTCAGTACCCTGAGAACAGAGGAGCTCAGTCCTTTGTCTTTTCCTTGGAAAAGGCTGGGGAGTGCCTCCTTCAGGCTTTTATGGAAAACAAGACATTGAGAGTAAAGGCTGAAGGAAGAGCTTGGAACCAAATGTACGGTTATTGAAGGAACCACTTTGGAAATTGTACTCTGAGACTCTGTTTTAGCTCATTTCATAAATAAAGGCATCCAAGCACAGCTGATGTACTTCTGCTTCCAGCTCATTTGTGCCTCCAGTGGACTGAAAATCCATTTCATGGGATCTTGGTGTGGTTTGGGTGAGAAGGGACCTTAAAGATCTTATTCCAGTCCCTCCTGCCACATGCAGAGACACCTTTCACTATCCCAGGTTGCTCCAAACACCATCCATCCTGGCCTTAGACACTTCCAGAGATCCAGGGGCAGCCACAGCTTCTCTGGGCAACCTGTGCCAGTGCCTCACTACCCTCACAGAGAAGAATTTCTTCCTAACATCTAATCTGTATCTCCCCTCTGTCAGTTATAAGCCATTCCACCTTGTCCTGTCACTCCATGCTCTTGTCCCAGGTCCCTTTCCAGGATCTGAGCTGAGCTCTGCTGAGCTCTTCTGAGCCAGAGGTTCAGCAGATTCCCTTTAGGCAATGGAAGGGGCTCTAAGGTCTCCTTGGGGCCTTCTCTTCTTCATGCAGAACAACCCAAACTCTCTCAGCCTTTCCTCATAAGAAGGTTCTTCAATCCCTCTAATCATCTTTGTGGCCTCCTCTGGACTCACTCCAACAGCTCTGTATTATATTTTATCTGCTTCTCTCTGGATCACTGAACAGTGTCAGTTTGAATACCCCTGAAGAAGAGCACCTGAACAGCTTAACTCATATTTTGCCCAGCTCAGCACAAGTGGGAGGATGTCCAATGTTTTTCCAGTGCCAGTGGCCTTGCACTGTGATGAGTAGAGGTGACAGCACAAAGTGGAGCCAGGAGTGCTGGAGCAGCATGTGGGAATGCAAACATGAACCTGTGGGAATGCAAATAGACTTCTGCATGCATACAGTGGGGTGTTCTGGGCTCTCATGATTGTGAGGTCATGGGCAAAGGGTAAAATGTGACCTAAGGGATAACTAAGGCAAAGAGGATGATTCCATATTAAAGGAATTCAGTAAGCCAAAAGACTGGTGAGGTGATGAGGACAAAATGGAGTAGAGAGGTTTAGCTGGGAAAAGCAGGTTGTCTCATTTGAGAGACAAATTTAGGAGAAAATGCTTTGGAATGAGTGTTTCTGCTAAAGAAAAAGTGCTTCAGTAATGCCTTTTTCTGTCACTGAGAAAATGGATATCAGTGGATGAAAGTGAAAAAAAAGTATTTATTGACAAAGTTCTCACATGGCAAAGTGGAAAAAAAAATCAAATAAACTCTAGTTATTGAACCATCAGAACCTTACCCCCAGTGCACACCCACTGCAGAACAAAAAAGCCCAAAATGCCAGGGAAAGAAATAACAGTCCAGCTGTGTGGCAAAATGGCACTGGCTTTTTTGTCTCAGGGAAGGGGAAAAAAGTTCATGTAGCAGCTTGGGCAAAACAGATGGGAACCTGTGGAACTTCTGGTGCTGATCTCCTCCCCACAGAAAATGAAGCTGGTGGATTTTGGTGTCTTTTCTCTTATTCAGTTTTTCCCAAGGTCTTGGGTCAGGCAGAGCAGCCCCTGAATTCCTGCCTGATAGGCTCCTGGTGATTGTCTGATCTTAGACCAAAACAAAGCTGAACAGTTCAAGAAAAAAAGCAAAAACCAGCAAAGGTTTGCTGCTGCAGTCTCTTCAAGCCAGGAAAAGGGGAAAAAAGAACCTTCTTGCTTAAGCTAACCAAAAAAACAAGCTAGCTAAGCAACTGCCTTGGGGTGATTTTAAGATGATGCTCTACTCCCTAATTGTCTGCTTTATGCCCAGAAATGGCTGCTGTGACTTTATGATGGATCTGGAGGGAGGGCTGGGAGCCCCAGACTGGGTTTTGATCAAAGACTCACCCCAGATGTGCTCGGTGCAGTGTGCTGGACATTGGCAGTCACTTTGTTGCTTGACTAACTTTTTTTTTGGTAGCTTAAGCACGAAGTTTCTTGTTTTCTTTCCCCACCTTTTCCCCTGACCTGCAGCAGTGATCCTCCAGATTTTTTTCTTGATCTCTTTCATCTTCGTTTTTGGTCCAAAATCAGACAATTGCTGAGATGGACCAGGACATGCAGGGGACCAGAGAGAGCTGCTCCAAGCCTGACACCTTGGAAAAAAAAAAGCTGAACCAAGAGAAAGGACAACAAAATCCACCAGCTTCATCTGCTGTGAGGAGGAGAGCAACCCCAGAGGTTCAGCAGGTTCCCATTGTTTTGCTCAAGCTGCTATGTGAACTCTTTTCTTTTCCCCTTCCCTGAGACAAAAGGCCACTGCCATTTTTGTCTTCCCAGCCATGCAGCCAGCCAGCTTGTTTACTTTTTCCCTGGGTATTTTGAGGTTTTTTTGTTGGGTGGGGGGTAAGGTCCTCAAAAGAAATATCTAGCATTTATTCAGTCTTTTTCTGTGCCTTGTGGGCACCTTGCTTTGTAATAAACAGGTTTTTTTCATTTTCACCCAGTGGTATTAATTTCTCCCATTGGCAAAAGGCATTACTGAAGTCCTTCTCTTTGGAAGAAACATTAATTCCAGAGCATTTTCTCCTGAATTTGTCTCTAAACCAAGACAGCAGCAAAGTAACATCCACTCTGTGCTGCACCCAGCATACCCTGGAGTGAGTCTTTGAGCAAAGCCTGTGCAGGAACCCCCAAGACTCACACCCATCCCCCAGACCAACCTTAAAGTACAGCAGCCATTTCTGGACATAAAGGAGATGATCAGGAATAGAGTGTCATCATAAAATTGCCCCAAGATGTTGGAGTCAGAGGCACAGAGAGTGTGCCCTTATCTCTGATACCTGGCTTTGACATCCAAGAAAACTCTGAATTTCATATCACACCCTGAAAACAACTGTTAAAGTTAAATAGAAAAGCTAAAAGTGTGTGTAGATTAGAATGTTTTCTTAAATCACTGGGTGAAAAAGTTAAAGTTTGGAGTTTAAACTAGTTTAGAGAACAGAAGACAAGTTGGAGGATTCCGGGTGTTCTCTCTTGTCCTTGTCCTTTTTTCTTCTTCATCCTCTTCTTCCAGAGGTTTTTGGGTAGTAATAAGTGATTGGATAGAGAATGTCACAGTGCAGCACACAGGTGTTGGGTCATTGGGTCACCAAGAAAAATAATTTACTTGGCATTTGTTAATTGGGTAAATAAAAATATAAAAGACCTTGAAGAAGATCTTTGTTAGCCATTTTTCACCTTTCTATCTTAGTGCATGTAGCTACTTGTACTCTGTAAATATGTAATATAGATAAAAGAAGAATAAACAACCAAGTCCAAACAAGAGAAAACTGCCTCTCTCTCAGCAATCTCAGTCCAAGGGGGAAAAAGAACCCAACCACGAATGTCCTATCAAATCACCAAGACACAGAGGCAGGGCCGAGACAGCTCCTGTTGTCAGAGGAGCCCCACAGGGACCACTGAGGTAATTGGCACATTTTCAGTGTCAGAGACACCAACAAGCTATGCTGAAATCCTGGCTGTGGGGCAGAGGTATCAGGACCCTGGACCTTCCCCTTTACCTAAAGGACATCACCCTCTCCTTTTACCTGACCCCATGCTGGGAAGCCCCAGGTCCATGAGAAGAGCAAAGCTTGCAAAAGGGACCCAGCAGGGAATGGCTGAGGAGGTGAGGAGATGAGCATTAAAGCTGCTCTCCTGGCTGTGCAAGGAGCCATAGAATCATTGGTTCATTTAGGGTGGAAAAGACCTCTAAGACCACTAACTCCAGCCATCAGCCCAGCACTGCCAGTCCCACCACAAAACCACATCCCTAAATGACACAGCTATGTGTCTGTTAGATACCCCCGAGGGTGGTTATTCCACCAGTGGACAAGGCAGCCTGTTCCAGTGTTGGACAACCCTTGTGGAGAAGAAATTTTCCCAAGTATACAATCTAAACCTCCCATGGTGCAACTTGGGGCCATTTCCACTTGTCCTGTCATTTGTACTTGGGAGAAGAAACCAACCCCTACCTGGCTGCATCCTCCTGTCAGGGATTTGTAGAGAGTGAGAGTCCCCCCTGAGCCTCCTTTTCTCCAGGCTGAGCTCACCCAGCTCCCTCAGCTGCTCCAGGTGCTCCAGCCCCTTCCCCACTTCTGTTCCACTCAGAGCCAAAGCCCAGATCATGCAAACTCCCTATCCCATCTCCAGCCATGGCCACGTTCCACATGACTGGGGTGATTTTGTGCACCAAAGCCAAAGCCCAAAATGAATATCAGCTCCAGGCACATCTGGCCTGGACTTGGGACGCCCCAGCCCTCAAAACACTATTTACTAGAGCACAAAGAGATTGGAAACCACAGGGTGCAGCAAATCTGAGTGAACAGCCTTCTACTTATTTAAGAATAGTGATGTACTTGAGGAGATGGATGCATTGGAGGCCACTGAAATACATCCTCTGCTGGCAAACAAATTATCAGACAAGAAGAAGCCACCCTTCTCTTGCATGACACCAGATGACACTGAAATGTCATGACTGAGCTGGCAGCAGTGAACTAAAGGTCACTGTAAAAGGCTCACCATGACTGAGGAAAGCTGTCCAAATGCCCACACAGTTTGGCATAGAATTGCAGCGTTCCCATGCAATTCAGAAAACTTCTACAGCTGCTAGTAGAGAAAATAAATGCAGATTGTTCATCTGAAGACTTTGAAAAAAGAAAAAAGTCCTAATTGAACTCAGTCACTCTGCTTTAACACTCTGTTTTTTGCATTGTTTGTGTCTGATGGAAACAAAGCACGTTTCCATCTGCGTGTTAAATTACAGACTTACAATTTCTGTGTAGAAAACACTCCAGAGCCAAGAGCAGTTACAAAGGCCAACTGTGAAACAGTAGGAAAAAAAAAGAGTCAACACCATTTATTATTCACATATTGCATTACAAGTGTCTCTTATCAAACTCAGAGCATAATTTATATTATTCATGTAGAAACTCAACTTGGAAAGAAAAGCTAAATAGGTGTGTGACAGGGGTGCAGTGACATCCTGATCAAACGTCGAGGCTTGGGCTGGCGCGCAGCCCGACGACCCAAGGGATTTAGTGCAGGAGGGACAAACCCAGCGCCCGCTTTTGCCCAGTACAGCCACTCTACTGGTGATTCTTTATTGCTGTAAAACACGACAGGGATGGTTCCATGGGTACCAGCTTGCAAAGGACTGGGGAACACGTTGGGAGGCCAGCCAGGCATGACCAAACTGGGTTTCAGGGACACTTGGAAGTGCATCTGTTCCAAATTTGTGATACAGATTTCCTCTCCCTGTGACTGTGGGTATTGAGTTTATCATCTGAAAGACCAGTTTCCAGGCAGCAATGCCTCCCTGGCCTGCTTCAAGAATGATGGAATCAGACTAGACTGTCAGTAGATGCCTGTCCAGTCATCACTTGCTCTTTGAGCATCTGTAGACATCCTTCTCCAGGTCTCTGTCATCATCTCTGGTGTCTCAGAGAAACTCTTCAGTTTTCTGCTCCTGAATATAAGGAGAGAGGAGGAGATGAGACTCTATTCATCCCTGATTCTGTCATTTTTTCTTTGCCTTAAATTTGCAGTTTTGGATATTATTTCCTTAAATTCAGAGTTCCCTGTACCCACCTGAGCTGGAGGTTGGTCATCCCCTGTGTCATCTGCCAGGTCAGTGCCACGGGTCTCAGGCAGCAGGATGCAGAACAGGGCCATCACCACAGGGATGCTCCCAAAGATGGCCATGGGGATGGCCCGGTGGTACTGGTCCAAGGGAATGATCAGCGGGGCCAGGATCCCGGCCACCCTCGCCATGGTCGAGCACAGCCCCACACCTGTCTGCCTGGGGAGACAGGGGCAGCAGGAGGTGTGGGCAGGGGTCAACACTCCTGGACTGAATGTGGCCCCATCACCACCTCCAGCCATGGCAGAAGGAAGCCCTGATGTGTGAGGACATCTCACCTGAGGATGGTGGGGAAGACCTCAGCAGCGTAGACGTAGGAGGTGGAGAAAGCGGCGGTGGATGTGAACTTGCCGATGATGGCCAGGACAGTGGTTGCCATGGGCTGGTCTGAGGGGAGGAGGAGAGACAACCACTGTGACCTCCAGGGGGTGGTTCACTTGGGACCAGAACTCTCTGCAGTGGGATTTCTTGGGACAGCTCTTTCTATTACACTTGCTAAGCAAACCTACCACCTAACCCATTGGAAATGATCCCCAGCATACCCCTCCCTGGAAAATACCCTCTGGCAAAGAGAACCCAGATTTCTCCTGAGGCCTTGGACATTTCTAGATTTGCAAATTAAGTGAGCTGCTGAGCCACCACAGGTATCTGGGGATTGGTTGGAGATGCCACGTCCCATTGGAAGCATTGGGAAGCCCCACTATTACCTTCAGTCCCACTCACAGCACTGGCACAGCAGCAGGGGTGGGGTATGGACTGGGGCACAAACAGATGCAAACAGATGAGGGGGAGTGGGCATCTGCTTTTCCTCTTCATGTAAGAAAGGGAGACATGGTGACTTTTAAAGCAGTTCTTCTGCTACACCTTTCTACCAGGAGGTGGTTATGTCATGGTGGTGGTTAATGGACTCTGCCTGCCAAGGGCCAGGAGCCGTGGAAGAACCAGGCACAGCCCTGAGGGAGAAGGAATCAAAGGTGAGGGGAAGCCAGAATGTTGGGGATGAATCACCCTGGGCTGTGACAGTGGAGGCAGCTGAGCTTGTGGGAGTGAGAGTGGGTCTGCCACGATGGGAGGATGGGTCTGAACAAAGGTAGGGATGTCCAGGGCTCTGCCCAGCTCTGTTCACAGGCTGGGAAGGTTCACCTTCAGGGATGCCAGTGAGGATGAGACATAACACGCCAGACAGCAGCAGGAGAATGCCCTGTACTTTCTTCCTCCCAAACCAGTCCAGCAGGAATATGCAGGAAATTCGAGCTGGAAGCTCCACTGCTCCGAAGGCCAGCTGTGTCAGGTAGATGTCCATGCCAAAATCTGTAACGCTGAGACTCAGCCCATAGTAGACAATGCTGTCTGCAAACCTGAAATTGAAGTAAAGTGGAATAGAACACATCACCAGATGGTTTTATGAGGGTTTATAACCAGCAATTAGAAAGGTTAGAACACGTGTGACTTATTTAAACTCCCAATGATCTCTGTGCTGGTTCTAGTCACTGCCTTTGACAGTTCTGCTGGATGTAGTTGCAGGAGATAAAGCAGAATGGATCTCCATATGGCCAGCAAATTCTAAACTGAACCCAAAGCTCCTAGATGGGCACAAAATTACTCCAAAGCCCACGGATAGCCAAAGCAGTAATTACTCAAGCCATTCTAACAAAACCCATAGTATTATGGATAATCATCTTCTTCCTATGCCCAGACATGGTAAATCTGGTCCAGTATGTGCAGGTGAATGATAGCAGATAAAGACATACACACATATCTTACCAGGAAAATCACTTTAATTTACCATTCTTGTCAACCATCAGCTTGTTTTCTTTCACCTAGTAGTTTTGAGAGAGGGGAGCCAGGAATGTCTTACCAGACACATGACATGATTAAAGTCACCTTCCGCAGGTGCTTCTTCCGAAAGAGATCCAGGAAACTTCCAGACTTGACCTCTTTCTCAGGCTTCAGCTTCAAAACACAGGAAGTCAAAGAGTCAGAGCAGGAAAAGGAAAGCCATGTCCAGCTCCTTTGCCACCTGCAGACCATGGAAAGCCTCATGGAGAGGCCTGTGACCCCCAGAGCTCCAGGAGGGAGAGCAGCCCAGTGGGGCTGGGCTCGTGCCTCTGTGCTCTGGGTGCCCAGAACAGGGGTGGTGACTGAGAGGTTCCTCAGGATGAACATTTCCCCAGTGTAGGACCCTTGGGGTGGGCAAGGAGGGAACTCCCTCCCCTTCAGGCACTTCTGCATGGAAACCCTGAGACTAAAGAGACACTCTGTGCTCATCAGTCACACTCTTGGAACCCTGAGAGGAGAGAAGCCAGGGAAGCATTTCAGTCCTTCCCACATGCCCAGGGCGACCCCAGAAAGCTCCAGGCTGAGCCTCAGCAGAAGCTGGGCCTCTTCCCTGACCTCGTCCCCGTGTGATGCAGCAGGAGCTGGAGTCCCTTGCAGCCCATGGCCAGAGCATCCCCAGTGGGAACAGAGAGACGTTTGTGGGATGAGCTGAGCTCCAGGGGCTGCTGCAAGGCGCAGGGCAGTGTCTGAGCACAGGAACCCCCAGTACCTGCTCCAGGAGCTCTGGTGGGAGGCTGCGCTTGTTGATGGCTGCCGCCTTCTGCAGAACCTTCTTGGCTTCCTCGATTCTGCCTTTGGTCACCAGCCAGCGAGCTGACTCTGGGAGCACCCTGCCAGGAGGAGGCCAGGACATGCTGCTGTGTCCTGCTGAGTCCCCCCACAGCCCCTTTCTCTGGGACCATGTCCAGCAAGCCTTGGCCACCACAGAATCAGACCCAGAATCTTCAGCGTTGGAAGGGACCCACGAGGATCATCAAGCCCAACTCTAAAGTGGATGGCCCATAGGATCAATGGGTCTAAATACCCAAAATGTATTTAGGGTAAAATTTAAATTTAGGCTCTACATTTGAAGACCTGAAGCAAAGCAGCTGCTGCTCTCAGCAGTGCAGTGCCCAGGGAGATGTGCTGAGCTCTGCAGCAGCTCCTCCAGCACCTGCACTCCAATGGGAAAGGCCCAGCTTGGTTCTGAGCTGCTGCCACCTCCTCATTCCCACCCCTCACATCAGTGTTGTGTCTTCCAGAAGCTCTGCCCTGCTCCTGCTTACCAGATGTAGAAGAAAAGGGCAAACATAGGAGCAGATCCTACAATTTCCAGCAGCCTCCAGTTGCGAATCCCATAACTCAAGCCAGCCACCATCATCTGCCCGATGGCGAAGGCCGTGTGAGTCATTAGCAGTGCCTTTGTCCGGTAGGCGACACCAACCCATTCTGTGACTAAGAGGAAAAACAAAGGTTCAGACTTTGTTTTGGGCTCTCTTTTGTTATTGTATCTTGTGAGGCCACATCTGCTGCCTCAGGGCAGGGGCTTCCCACTCACTCAGGGATACGACTGTAATCATAATTCCTGATACCGCAGCTCCCACGACACACCTGAAGGCCATGTACACATAGAAATGGGGCACAAAGGCCGTTCCCAGGCCAAACACACTCTGGAGGAAGATGCAGATGAGAAAGACTGGCCGCCTGCCTATCCTGTGGAAGAAGAGAGAAGACCCAGTCAGTACCTGGAGATACCCCAAGGGGAGAGAGAACAGCCAAGAAGGGATGCAAAGTGATTTGAGAACCAGAGGAGATTTGACAGCCACGCGAACGTAGCTCTTCTATACACCCCATAAAATAATGTGCAGAAAAATCAGTGTCTTCAGTGATGACCCATCATGGTTCTGGCAAAGCCTGGGATACCAGCAGGGGCTAAACTTGTGATTCCTGAAGAACTCTCCTCCACAAGGCTGTATTTACCTCTCTTTTCAACCCTGAGACATTTCCAGACCTCACAGGTGGCCCCAGATGCGCTATCTCAGGCAAGGGGATTGAGTCCTGTGAAGGGAGCAGTTCCTGTTCAGTGCATGGACAGTCTGCACCCTCATCTGGGCTGTCCCTGGGTGCTGGGCAGTGTCTCTGGGAAGGAACTGTGTCTCCTCACCTGTCACTTAGCATCCCAAAGCCCATGGCTCCTATGAGAAGCCCAGCCATGTAGATGGACTGGGAGACATCATTCAGGACCATCCTGTCACACACCAGGTCAAACTGCAGGAAGGAAAACAGAGATGTTGTTGCTTTTGACAGAGGCCAGCTGCTTTCTGTGGAGGTGGGCAGCCTTTCTGGTTCATGGTGGATCCAGGATCTGGGTGCCTGAGCACTTGCTTCAGCCCCTGGCAGCAGAGAATCCCTCACAAGGGCTTGAACCCTTCATGATGAGCACTTAGGACTCAAACCAATGGTGGGATGGGCACACGAGGTTCTCAGCATGCCTCTGCAACCTGGTGCACATCTTCTGGGTGCTGGGATCTGCAGGATTCCCCTCCAGCCCAAACATCCCTGAGGGAGCAGCCTGGTTGGCAAGTTTTGTTTAAAGTGTGACCTTGAGGTGAGAGCTGCATCAGCTTCCTTCTCTGGCTGAGAAGACAGGACAGGGTGGAAAGAGGAGAAGAGCAGTGCTTTTTCTGATAAAGGAGGACCAGCATAGGAATGGGAAGGGATGCAGCTGCTGAAACCTCCAGAGAAGCCTTGTCTGAAATGGACTTGGTGCTTCAGGGACACCAAAGAGCCTTTGCAAATGCCAGAGGTGGGATTTTCTCCTCTGTTCCACCTCAGAGGAAGGTACTTGTGAGAAAATTCTGGAGCTGGCAGGTAGGAAAGAAGGGAGAAGGAGTGAGGGAAAGTGAGAAAGGAACAAAGGTCCACAGAGGGAGAATCACAGAATCATGGAATCATTTAGGTTGGAAAAGACCTCCAAGAACAAGTATGATCTTTGACAGACCACTATCATGTAAAGTATAAGGCAGAACGGAGAAGTTGAGGATGCTGATAAGGCTTTTGCTCAACTGCATGGCCCCTGGCATGTCTTATAGCAGCCCTGAAGGAGGCCAAGAAATATCAAAGACATGCACTTGGAAGGTAAATGTCTTTCACAGAGAAGATGATGTGAGTAGAACCAGGCTGAAGAACAGGGGATACTGTGGCAGGGATGGCCAAAAGGCCCCTCCAGGCAGATACATCATGAAGTCAAGGGTCTGGATACTGGAAAAGGGACAGGTGGTGAGCAGAACGTGCTGGGCTCACACCCCATGGTCACTGCCTGTGCCCTCCCCAGGCATCTTCATCATGGCCTTCTTGTGACACCCTCCCAGGGCTTCCAGCTGCCATCTGCTGTGATGGAGGCAAAACCCTGCAGTAAATCTCAACATGACTGCACCACAGCTGGCACTGGCTGACCAAGCCACAGGCCAGGATATTCCCACCCCCTCCTTTCCATGCCCCGATCTCATCAAACAGCAAATACAGACCTCGGTGAGCAGGGACGGTGGCTGGTCTGAGGGGTACACCCAGCCATTGATGCACTTCTCGGTGTCATTCAGCCCATAGGCCACAATGGAATGGAGGTCCCAGTCCACCGGGGAGTACATGGAGCACTGCTCAAACTCCCCGTCCGTGCCCCGGGGCAGGGTGAGGTTCAGCTGCTCTTCCTCCGTCAGGTTGGGGCCGATGGCGCGGATCCAGCTGGTGTCACAGTGGTGAGGCACGTTCACAACCATGAACACTTGGCCAACCATTTGGAATGGATTGAGAAGTAGTGGGAGGGAGAGGAGCAGGGTCAGCAGTTTCTGATAGAGCCCACACTCCCCCAGAGCACATAAAAGATCTCCAAACTCAGCCATGGTGAGCACTTCTGTGAGCAGGCTGAGCTGGTGCCTGTGGCTTAAATAGGCAAATATTAATGTTTAAACTGTGTGAGCACTAAAGCCCTAATCCAGTGTGATAAAATGAGCACCTGCACTGGCACAGCAGTCCATTATGATGATACAGTGCAGCCCTCCAGCATGCACTTTGTCACCAGCCATTCCCTCCCTGCTCTTGGGAATAGAACAAAGGTGCCAGAGCACTGCCACTCTTGGAGACACTATAGTGACATCTTGTCCTTTTCCAGCCTGAGATGTGTCACAAGGCCACCTGAAGGCAACTCTGCTGCAACACAAGGTTTTTGTCTGAGGCATGAATTTGGGATTCAACAAATGAGGGTTAATTTTACTGGGTGTGGGGATGCAAACAAGAGTAAATTTGCTGCTCCCTTTAGTGGTTTAATGACTATATAATGCATCCTGGAGACTATATGTAAGAAGCAGAACACTTCTCTGGATCAGGAAATATGGCTGGTAGTCCAAGTAGACTTGGTCTTGACATCTGTGTCCCAAGCTCTCTGTTTTCATTTGTAGAAACCTTTGTTAGTCATAAAACTAGATCTAAACTGCAGTTTCTTGGGTATAATCCTAAAAAAGACCTGGCTTAGACAGTACCCTCGGGGAAAATGGCACGTTACACACACTGACATTCAGAGCACACAGGATTTGGGAAATGACACCGGCTTGGCTTGGCCTGAGGTTCTGATGTCACTTGAAAAGCAGATTAACCTGATTTCTGCTGAATATCTGAGCTGCTTCCTGGGTAGACTCCCTGAGTGGCTTGCATCTTTATTCCTGGTAAACTGGGTAGCTGCATTGCCCTCAGTGTGTGAAATTTTGTGTGTAACTTGGCAAAGATTGGTTTTACCAGAGCTCCTGGCTGCTTTTACCAGAGATAAGAACACATCACTAACCTGCTCTTTCAAATCTCCTCTCAATGCCCATAGCATATCTGAGCCTCCAACAAAGTCACTCCTGGGTCACACAAGCCTGGACTGGTGTTTCATGAGTAGGAATAGCTCTGTTGTGCTTATAAAAATCAGTAAAGGAGAAGAATATTGGATTTTAAAGCATCAGCCCCTAAGCTGGAGAGGGAGAGTGAGATCATACTGGCTAGTGCTGTTCAGGGTAAAGGAAAAGAGGAGTAAATGTTACTTAGAGTTGTGTAAATTCACACCAGTGCTGTGCATTTATCATCTGCACACACTACACAGCCAAACATCACTCAGCTCTGCATCCACATCCTTGTGTGAGAGGACTTGCTGTTATTCAGAGACATTCCCTGAGCAGGAGACTGAGCTACATGACTTCCAGAGATTCCTTTTACCCTAAATCCATGTCTGGCCTTTTGGTGGGATGACTTGGCTGAGATCTGCTCTGGCAGAGACATTGTGTCCGTGTCCTTCCTTCCCTATCAGTGTGCAACAAGCTCAAGTCTTCAGGCTCACCCTGTTGTGTGTGGCTCATGGTCTTCCCTCCCATTCCTCAACCCCCAGTGATTTCTGTGGCAGAGGTCCAATTCATGACAATAAAATCTCCCTGGGGGTGACTCAGATCTGAGTTCCACGTGCTAATGCAGATGTGACTCCTTCCTTAAAGATGTTCTTCCAGCCATGACCAGACAGGCTCATCTGAAGCCCTGGGGAAGCTTCAGTCCTTTGTCACCCTCAAATGACATTTCTCATGGAAAGGTGTTTTCAGAACTGTCTCCATCATTTGAGTGGGTCAGTCCTACATGGTGGAGATCTCTCAGGGAGAAAGACTGTTTCCTGGAGCCCCACTTGTAGGGATTCTGGGCTTATTTCTCTCTGTCCAGCAGCTCTGCTCAGGTGGATTACTGAGGCTTGCAAAACCTCTTGAAAATAGAGAAGCCTCTGTCAAGGGGCACCAGAAACCAGCAGGTCCCAGGGAAGGCCTGGGATGGACACCTGGAAACCTGTACATCCTTGTCAAGGACAAGGGAGGTGGAGCACCCTAGAAAAGTTCAGAAGGAGAAACCACTGCCTGGGAATGAGGCCTCATGCAGGAAATAGAGCATTGACACATTAATTCATGGACTTGGCTTTTCTCTGTACATCAGGAGTGACAGTGGCTGGAGACCTCTTTGGACACCACTGTGCTGGGGTGAATTGTGGGGAAATGGATTCATACCCACTAACTGTGGTGCTCCTGCCTACTCCCTCTTCCTCTCAGGGCTGGCAGGGAGAGATCAGGTTTATGGGTGTCATCTGGTGGTGGCAACTCATCTGGGGCATCACTCTGAGCACCTCTTGCCCAGGTGACAGGACCATTTCCCACTACTCCAGTGAGAGGTGTTTGATCTCTGCAAGCCTCCTCTCAACCTCCAAGCACAGCCTGGCCAGGTTTCAGGCATAGCTCTGAGACAGCAGCTCCTTTACACTGGGCCCCTTGGCTCACCCCAAGGTGAGACTGACTTCAGCATTTGATGAGTCATATAAATTTCGAGGATATCCCTTTTTTCCCTGATTTATGCTGATTGAGCAGTTTCCCTGCACAGAGCACTGACACTGCTTTGCAGCAGATGCAGTCATTAAGCAGCTTTATTCCTCCAGCAGATCTGACAGAGACAGGGTTATTTTGGCACAGGTGAGGCAGGGAGACTGTTGGGGTATTTTATATTTTATTTTATTTTTATTTTATTTTATTTTATTTTATTTATTTTATTTTATTTTATTTTATTTTATTTTATTTTATTTTATTTTATTTTATTTTTAATTTATTTTCTTTATTTTATTTAATTTTATTTCATTTTGTTCTATTTTAAAAATATTTTTAAAAATTAATCATTTTTAAAAATTAATCATTTTAACACCTTTATTTTTATTTGTTTTTTACAGACAGCAGATTAAAACATGTGTATTGATATGCTCTATGACCCATTTCATAGTGCACATGTTTATGCTTTGACCCTCTGGGGTTTCTCGTGAGCTTGTTTATCATTAGTATAATTGTTAACTCCTATAACATTTATGTTATGCAATATTTATGCAACGGGCAGTCAGGGAGAAGCAGAGTGCAATGGCACAGGGAAACCAGATTTAGCAATGTCCCCACACCCCAAGACTTCAAGACACCAGGGTTCATGTTCCTCCTCTGCCCTTCTGACCTTGGCAAGGTAATTTCACTTTTCTTTGCTTATCATTGTACAGCTGATTTCAAGAATCACTTTTGGTCCCATTTCAGCTAAGCTGTGCTGCAGGGGAGGCTGTGTGGTCTTTTTAACCTATTTTTTTTTTTTCTACCTATATAAAGAACTCCTTCTCTGAAAGGTCATACTTTAACGTCTCTAAGTCTTCGGAAGACAGACTGTCATAATCTTCTTTGCTTCCTGATGTTTTTCTGCTCCTGCTCATTTTTTCAGAAGCCTCCTGGCCCATTTTGGTTGAATCAACATCAAAATGATCAAAGACACCTTGATTAGAGGTTTCAGCAGCACAGGTGCTGAACATGTATGTTAAGGGAAAATTGTCATCCTGTGTAGGGAGATGTTTTTTTGTGGAGCCTTCAGCACTGACACCCGTTCCAAACATTTCTTCTGCTGCCTTTGGAGCCTGGCACTGTGGATCCACCTGCAGCAGGAGTTCACAGCTCTGAATCCCTTCCAGGTCTCCAATATTAATCTCATCCTGCCCATCAAGAAGCGAGAGGCTGGAGGTGTCCCAGAGCTCTAGTGAAGCATTTGTTTCTGATGAGATTTCCTGGAATAAATCTGAAGCATCTGGATCAAAGTAAGGTGGAGTTTCTGCCTCTGAGTTTTGCAAATCTGAATTTGGAGTTTTATTTGCTATACTGGGGAAATCTTGTTCTCTAGAAAAGAAAAAGTTACTGCTCCCCAGAAAATCCATGTTGCCGAACTGAAGCTCAGCATCCTTGGAAAACTTTTCTGAATTGCCTGGTGAAAAAAATATCCCATCCTGTTCCACTGTGTCCTGAACATCCAAACTCAGCAGGTTCTGGGATCCTGGCAGGTGAGCATCATGATGATTCCCTTCTCTGGTGAGATTTTTGCTGTTGTCAGCTGCAGGCACAAGCTCTAGAGGAAGCTGTAGAGAGTTTGTTCCATGGTTTGAGATTCCTGCAGATTCTTTCTGAATTTTCTGTGCTGGCATGAGAGGGGGCCGACAGCTGTCCTGTTGCTGCCAAACCTGACTATTTAGAGACACTTGATCATGAATGTCAAGTTCAGTTCTCTCACATTTGTCCTCATGTGACATGGCTGTGCTGGGAGCTGACAACAGGACATCAGTCTCCCTCCCCGCAGTAGAGCCAGAGAATCCTCCAGAGCTCTCCTGGATATGTTTAGGGAACACCTCTGTCTTTCCAGGCTGTGGCAGCTGATCATTCTTGGAGGCATTTTGCTTGGCTTGGCTGGAGGAGCTGAGGAGGCCCTGGGCCTTTTCTGTCCTGCCATCAGTATTTGCTTGTTCTGAGGATCCTGCAGGTTTTTCTCGTGGACTCTGCTTCTTCTCTGAGGTGTGACCGAACAAAGTGGCAAGGGCTGCTTGGGGTTTCGTGGGTTTCCTCTGGGTTGTTTCTTTCCTGGGAGTTCTGCCTTTGTCTTCAGAGCCAAAAAGGGTAATGAAAGGGTTTTTCCCAAGCCTGAAACCTTTACCTGATGTCTCTCTACAGCCTTGGCTGCTTCTGGCCCCCTTGCTGTGGGGACCAGTCTGTGACACACTGCTTTCCCCTGGAAGTTTCAGATCCACTTTTCCTTCACCTACTGGATGGCCTCTGGATTTATCCAAGGATGTATTTGGTTTGGAATATTCTGATGTCTTGGCTGGTTGCTCAGAAATGTGCAAGGTGTTTTCACTAAGAACTTCCCTGGAATCCTCTGATTTGGGGTTGTTGACTTCATCATATGAGGGGCAAGTGGCACAATTTCCTTGCAGAGATGTGTCTACTGATACTAGAAAATCCCTGCCAGATGATTTAATATCATGTCTCCAAATACCCTCATTAGT